GGATATGGGTGTGGGTGAGGGTGTGAGTGAGGATATGGGTGTGGGTGTGGGTGAGGGTGTGAGTGAGGATATGCGTGTGGGTGAGGGTGTTATACTCCTCCCATAGCCACAATCATGTCCTCATTCATACCCACACCACACCTACATCCACACACATACTCTAGAGATAGATCTTTCACACATTCAAATGCGATTCTTGATCTCAGCCATCTAATGGGTGAAGATGACGATGTGAATGTGCTGATACCAAATTTATCTTTCATATTCGAATTCACATCTTCAAAAGATAGCTGGGTTCAAATATATTTTCTCTATATTAGATAATTGACATTTATTTATTATAAAGTTGAATTGCTCTGTGTAAGTCTTATCGTAAAATAACTTAAATACAGTGTGGATTATTATTCCTTGGACTGTGAGGAGGGTGTGATACGAAAAAACGAAAATGCGCTTGTCTGTCTGTCTGCCCGTGCCAGGATCAAAGTCAAAGATTAAAAAAACATAATGAATAATAAAACTTGATCAATGATTTTTGAGGTCGAGAAATTCGAATCTGAGGCTAGTTTTCTTTAGAATTTTTTTTAAGATTCATTTTTTTACGCAAAAGACAGATTTTTAGATAAAAAATTTAAACAAAGGATTTTTCATAAAAGGCTCAAAAAACATTAATAAAGAATTTTTGTAATAAAAAGTTGCAAAAGGTCAAAGAAATATAAAAATTTTTAATAAAGAATTTTTTTAATAAAAAAACTACTTTCTTCATAAAAAATTCAAAAAAGCATATATTGAGTGTTTGTGTGTGTGGGATTATCTAATCTTAAATCTCAGATCCGCATCCACCCAAACCCACCCACATCCAAAACAAAAAATTGATCATTACCTTAGACCTTTATTTTCCGATTCCGGAATTGGATGAAACTGATTGTAACAATGTCTGTCCCCGTCATACTATTTCTTCTTGTTTGATGTATTGCCCTTATTCTTTTATCTTTACTTCATACATTATATAATTCTTTGTCTCACATAAGTCAGGATCCGAGCATACAATTGGATGGAGTTGTCGAGTTGTACCTGGAACTTTATTGGAACAGGTCCTTAGGCACATATGGTGTTAACTTCGCTTACGTTAAAGTAGAGTGAACTATCGTAAAGTACCTTGAAGTGTCGTAGAGGGTGTTAAGTATAAAATATTATATTTTCTCATTGAATTAAGTACTATGAAAAAAGAAAAAGAAGAAGAAGGGAAAACGCGCACACAACAAAAACATGTTGAAATAGTACCGTCCGATCTAGGTCGATCGGAATGAGTATTGCGGGGCTATAGTTAACATGCAATAGCATATACACATATGAAGAAGAATAAAGAAATAGAAAAACACTTGTGCAGGGAAAAAAACACACGAAGAGTACCAGTTAATGTGAAAGTCGACTGGCTTGTAACAATAACTAGGACGAGAGTTACGTATATTGGGAAACTAAGATAAGTTTAAAAAGAAAGTTCTGTTTATGGCTGTCAGAAGAGGCGGTCCAATCTGAGACTTAGTCAAGTCGAAAATGATTAGATAATGCTTTTTTGAACTGGATTTGCCCACCTTTCTTCGTCAATTTCAGTCGATGGCTGTTGTGTTTCAACAGTATAAACGGCCATTTCACTAGATTCTGCTGCTGTCGTATTACGCGAAAGTTCTTCTCCTAATTTGTTCATAAGAGTCTTATTTTTTCTCCAAGTATAAACTAAAACCTGCATCGCCGACACAATAACCAATATACCAATCACAACTGCTACGGTCAATCCTGTTGCACTAATTTTTTGCGTTATAAGAATTATCAAAGTAGTTATCGGACCCAATGCTGAGACCAAGAAACAAAAAGAAGCCACCACAGGACGTGCGAATTTTCCATCATCTGTTGGACCGGGCAATGCATAAGCATAGAGCAACAGCCGTACGTATAACTCCACTAGCCAACCGTATACCTGGAAAAGTCCAGTACACAGTCCGATCTGTTCAAGAATTTCCAAAGTCGAAAATCCTTTCTTAAGCCATCGGTAGCAAGTGACACTGCCCAGAAATTTGGGAATCAAAATGTCAGATGAGTTGCAGTAGAAGTGCTCATTATTACCAGAAGTTGAATAACAATGCATATCGCCATCGTCTGGGCATTTGCTATTCGGACGAAGATAGATGACATTCAAAATTAAACCATCGATGAAGACGATTAATGTCATTCCGATCACGACACCTGTCGTAATCCATAGACACATACGAGGTATCTCAAAGTACCTACCTTTCCTCTCCTTCAATTCGAATTTTTCTCCATATAAATTTAGTATTGCTGGTTCCATCCACACTTCAGACGGCGTGTACTCAATACCAAACATTTGCTTACACATGGTAGAAAAGGCGTGAGGACTTCTGTTCCATAATGTACCGGTAAAGCCTAGAGAGAAAATAACTGTAACCGAAATAATGATGAAATTAGCATCAAAATAGCCGCTATAATCCCACGCCATTTTTCACGAGGCTGGCAAACGAAGATTGACAAAGTTCAGTTTTTAGTCTGAAATTAACGAATACAAAAAAATCGCCGTAATTATCACTGCTAGATCGAGGAGAGCACAGAAAGTCTTGGTTCAGTATTAATTCGCAAGAAGGAGAAAATGGTGTAGCTGTACGCTTTCTGTCTCTTATATACTGCTCTGCATACCACATAGAGTAGACATTCTTATCTCTTGCAGAGAAATAAAAAGAAAAGCAATAGCTCACCTTGAGAAAAAGAAAACAGAAAATATAGAACTAACCTTGAAAGAAACAAAATGAAAGATAAGAGACCACATAAGTTGCTGACAAGGCGAGAGTGAATGTAAGTGTGGGTATGGGTGTGAGTGTGGGTGAGTAAGAATGATAGGTGGATATAATATTCACACCTACACTCACACGCATCCTCAAGAAGGAGAAAATGGCGAAGTTGTACGCTTTCCATCTCTCACATGCTCCAGTGTGTCACACACAGTATATATTCTTATCTCTTGTAGAGAAATAAACAGAAAAGCAATAGCTCACCTTGAGAAAAACAAAACAGAAAATATAGAACTAACCTTGAGAAAA